AATAATTATAATTAATAATAAATTATTATTATAAATTTATAATTTTGTATGGGATTATCATTATTGGCTAATTTTTTTATATATTTAATAATAATTTCTATAAAAAATATTAATAATTATAATTAATAGTCATTTTTCTTAATTAAATTATATAAAATTAATATTTTTTATTAATTCAATTTTAAAAATGCATCTACTATATTAACTTATTGTATTTTAAAAATTAATTATTTTTAATATTGAATTCAAGATTTAAGTATAAAATTTAGTTTATGAATTCAAGATTTAAATATAAATTTTAGTTTATAAAATAATATTTATTTATTAATAAAATTAATTTTAAAGTTTAAAACTTAATGAATTAAAAGAAAAAACTCATAAAATAAGTGGTGAAACTATTAATAAAAATGCTCCATTACTCATATAAACAGGCTTAAACTCTTGTCGTTTTTTATTGTATAATCATTATACGATTGAAATACCATTAAAAAATGATGAGACAGCTAAGAAAAGCTACACAACCATTGAGGGAGATAAGACCGAGGAAAAGGTCCAACTCAGTCTCTATTACTACTAGTTTTCCAAGTATTCTGTTATTGTAATTCATTAGTCCCTTCGTCCCTTCCTCTTCCCTTCGTAGAAATTTCAGGAACGTCCAAAGTCAAATTCATACCTTTCATTCTCCTTTTCTTTGCCATCAAATCCATGTCTTCAGTCGCTACTTAATATATAGTGATATCTTCTTCCATTAGAAAGGTGGGATAGGAAGTTGAAGCTTAGTGAAGGAGAATTCAGTTATCAACATAAATGGGCAACTTCTGTGCAACTCCGGTTGATAACGATCACAGCCAATATAGCTCTGCGAAACTTCGCAGACCAGGTAAAACTATATATATATATACTTATTTTCTCGTGTAAAAAAGTTATAATATTTCATTATAAAAAAAAAAAAAATAGTGTATTAGAATCATTTCCCTTTAGAAAACGAATAAAAACCTTCTTTTTAATTGGTTAGAGTTATATATTTGTTTTAATTCCTAAGATGTTTGGTCAGATTAGTTTTTTGCCTCTTTTTTTGTGTGTGTGTGTGTGAGTGTACGTGTGTTGGATTATTTTCTTGTGTGTGATTGTTTGTTATATGATTAATTAATTGAAGCAGAATTGTTGAATGGAGAGATTGTTACCCCGAAGTTGAGGAAGTTCAAACTGGAGGAACTCAGGGAGGCGACCGGGAACTTTGAGCCGGCTGCGGTGTTGGGAGACGGTGGGTTTGGGACGGTGTTCAAGGGGTGGATCGACGAGAACACCTTCGAGCCGTCCAAGGCTGGTGTCGGCATGCCTGTTGCCATCAAGAAATCTAACCCGAATAGTCCGCAAGGCCTGAAAGAATGGCAGGTAGGAAATTTTGTTTGTATTTTGCTTAACTCATGACAAGGTAAACTACTAAATTTAGGCGGGCTCATGATATTGATTGATACCTTTCCCATCCATTAGTTCACCGAGTTGCAAAATCTATAGATATAATTTGTAACAAGAAAAAAACATACCCTTTTTTTTATGGTTATGGTAATTAAAATTATAAAATATTATTTTTAAAAATTAATTTATTAAATCTGATTCATAAAAATATTAATAATTATAATTAATAATAAAAAATAAATACATTTTTAACCTATATCCTTAAAATACAAACTAAAGAATTATTTAAAAGAATAAGTGCCAAAAAAAAAAAGACAAATAAATTCAATAATGGTTTTTCTAATCTATATGTAATTAATACTCTTTTTAATAATTAATTTATATGAAAAAATAAGCTCATGTAATTTTGTAGTTCTCAATTTCTCATCCTTCAAACTTCATTTTTCCTTTTTGCTAAATTTTAAATTTACAATAAATTCTTCAAAATTTTTAAATTGAGATAATTTTAATGGATAAAAAAAGATATTATTTAGTTATAAAACTATCCTATAGTACATAGAGTTTCTTATTCTTATTTACTTGACTATGTGACAATTGAGATTTAATTAATTCAATTGATTTCTATTGGAAGTAATTAAATTTTAATGTATAAAAAATTATAGTAATTAAATCCTAATAAAATATTTTAAAAATTCAAAAATATTAATAATTTTATGACATGAGAGGACATTTCATACTTCAATGGGCCGCATAGTGTTGCGGTGGAATCCACTCTAACAATAAAAAAAATCATTAGTTTTAACGGAATATTGACATGACAGTTAAATAAGGGTTGATTTGCCACCGTACATGAGTTTAAGGGGTCATATGCTACTGATTTCAGTTGAGGGGCTTTTTTGCCATCTCTTGACATGTTTAGGAGGTAATTTGCATTATTCGCCTAGTAAGAAAATCTTCGATCTTTTAATATTTATCTACCCTTTCCTAAAAACCCTAAAATCATTAATTTTAATAGTGTTTAAAATTAATCTAAAATATTCATTTTAGTTATTAATTTTTTTCTATGTTAAATATTAAAACTTCATGTTTAAGTCAAAATTTTTTATTAGGTAAAATCTATTTATTTTATTTTATTATTTTCTATATATTAAAAAAATAATACTTTAAATACAAACTTAATTCAAGTGTTAGACAAATCCAACCCCCTCGTCTCACATCCTAACTCCGTCACTGATTATGACCATCAACATAAATGTTATGATTATTAAAATTGTAAAACAGTATTTTTAAAATTATTTGTTTTATTTAATTTGACTTATAAAAATTATTAATAATTATAATTAATAATTAATAAAATAGTTAATATTTATTAATTAATAAATTAAAATTAATTAACAAATTAATAATTTCAAATATTGTATAAAAAAAAAACTCAAATTTTGCGAACCTTAATAATATTGATATTGTCATGCCATATAACTTGAAGTCAAGACTTTTTATTTTAAGTAGAAAGAAATGATCATTAAACTATTTAAGTCGTTGGCGATATAATACTTTTTAAAATTAATAGGTAATATAAAAAATATTATGAGTAAAAATCTAGTTATATACAAATTTCACATATTATATTTACATAAAATCTTAAATTTTCTTTTTTACTTTTAATTGTTGTGATTTATTTATATTTATTAAAAATAATTATTTTTATCAAAAAA